GCTCCCGCGCGTGTCCCCATGTGTGGCACCCCACCCGGGCAGGCAGGAGCTCTGCGGAGCCCTGGCTAAAAGCCACTTTTTTTGCGACATGCCTTAGAACCAAGAGAGGCCTGTGCTGACAGCCGCGAGAAGCTGCGGGCACCTGCGCCCAGCACAGACCCAGGTCCACAGCCTGAGGACACAGCGCTGGCTCCCTCAGCTGGATCCTCAGCTCGCAGGTGGGTCCATCCATCCATCCATCCGGGCCTGGCAGGGGGCGGGGTGGGGTGGGGAAGGTGGGGAAGGGGTGTGGATGGAGGTAAAGGAAAAGAAGTGGGGCAGGACGCGGCGGCACACATCTGCAATCCCAGCAGGGGGGGGGGGGGGGGAGGGCAGGGGAGTAGGAGGAATCTCAGGAATTTTCCTCATACTTTGTTCATCTGTTTGTTTCTAGTCTGTGTAACCTGGCTTCCCTGGAACTGAGAGAGAACCTTCTTACGTATCTTCCTGAGTGAGTCTTTGAGCTGTTTTTAATGTCAGTGGAAGAGTCTGTGTCCTTTGGACAGTGGGGAGGCGCCCACCTTCCCGTAGTAGTCCTTCCCGCGCTGTATTTATTGCTATAAAAATATGCAAATGGATGAATCCTCCTTCTGAGAACTAGTCCAAGGGAGGAATGCTGTGCTGCCCGCATGCCCAAGTCCTCTCTAAGCATTTGTTTTGCCTTTTAAATAGCTCTCTTGCCCAGCTCCAGAGACTAGAAGAACTTGATTTAGGAAACAATGAAATATATAATTTGGTAAGTCTGCATCGGAGAGAGCTGAATGTGCCTTTGTCCTTGCTTATGATCCCGGCCTATTTTGGGAGTTCTCTGAGTTCGCTTGTGGAGACAGCGTTTCTGCCTTGGGAACGCCTGTCTTGGCACTCTGCAGAATGGTCTTCTGTTCCTGGAGGTTGGGAGTTGGGACTGGGGGTCTGAGTGCCAGTCGCAGCCACTGGCATTCTTGGGGGAAGTCGGGAGCAGGTCAAGAAAGTGGGGGAGGGGAGCTGATGGCCCCGAAGTCACAGGCACCGCTGCAGTGCCCGCTGCTCTGTGACAGTGATCTGAGTTCTCTGTTTTCTCATTGGAAAGCTGAGAAGTGGGGTGTTGTGATCACTGAGTCACTTTTGCTTCTCTGCTGTAGCCAGAATCGATTGGCGCGCTCTTCCATCTGAAAGACCTCTGGTTGGATGGAAACCAGCTCTCGGAATTGCCTCAGGTAAGTGCAGAGTTGAGTCTCCCCCCAAACAGAGTGACAGTACGTCCGTGTGCTGTCTGTTTCTGCATGGAGTGTCTAAAAGAAGAATTTCAGAAGCCAGCAGCATTAATTGAAAAAGCACATTTGGAGAAATATATTGAGTGTTTAGCGTGCATTGGTACAGGGAAGTTGAAAACCTCAGCCCACCATTTCTAAAGATGGTAAATACATCTTTTAGCTTGTGAAGTCTATACTTTATTGCTGCCCAAATATTAACTTCAAGCCCAGTAGATTTATAAATTACCCTGCAAGTCAGGACTTAGGGTTGAAGCAGTATTCATTTCTACTACTTTTTGTGATGTGTTAAGTGCTTCAGGATAATTCTGACTGTTGCTTGCCATATAGTATTGGTTGCAAAAGCAATGTTAAAGCTTTTACATCATATTTTTCCAAGTACGGATGGCATGTCCTGGTGCTTGGGTTTTGCCTACTGGCGCCAAGTACGAGAGCCTTGGTGCAGACACGGCGGGGCCTGGGGCAGACTCCTCAGCTCTCAGCCAGCTCCGGCCGGCGCCCAGCAAGCAGGCCGCTTTGCGGCTGAGCCCCTGGAACATCTAACCTTGTCCTCCTGGAGCACAGTGAGCGTGTCTGCCCCTAGCCATGGCTGCACTGTGTTCGCTGGTGTGTGCTGCAGCCATTCTGCACGGCAAGGACACAACTGCGTGATATGGCTGCGTGCATTGGAAAGTAGCTCAGGTGCGCCCTTCTTGGCTGTGGCTCCAGCTCAAGGGAGCCTTGGGCTCAGGGCAGGGAGTGCATCCTGCGTATGTGGAAGCCCTGAATAAGGCTTCAGTTGTGGTCCTCATCACTGAGCTGAGCTCGTCCCCTGTGGTGAAAGGACTCAGAGAGCAGGTCTTTTCTGGAGATGTTGGGGCCTTGTGAGAGGAGCTAGGTCAGCAGCTGTTTGGGCAGGTTTGGCTGCTTATTTCTGTAATAAGTATGCAGCAAGGCCCGGCTGAGGAAGGCTGGCTTCTTCAGAGTGAGAGGGTGGGGCAAGGGATGTCCCAAGCCCAAGAAATTGCTGCACCAGCAGTTCATGTTGCAAATGATTATTTAAAAATCCCATTTGTTCCCATAATATAAACATGTATCAAACCAAGACTAAAGATAACCTAAAATCTCAGTTAGAATGATTTTCCTGTCTTCATCGGTGATGGGCAGAAAAGGATAGGAACACAATATTAAAAGGACTTAATAAAAAGTGGAACACAGGACTGGCCTGAAATTAGTAGAAATGTAGTCTGGTCTTCTGTAGACAGAGGACGTAGCAGCAGTGTGATGGGCATATAATTAGGCAGGAAGTCTAGAAGGAACAACTCAGACCAAGGGAAAGACCAGGGATGAAACTGCTGTGTTCGCAGCCCCAGGGAGCCCTGATGTCTTTGTGCAGTGGGCTGGTGCGATGGACTGACCAGATGGGCACCATCCCCAGGAGGGCAAGGAGAAGTCCCGTTTGTGGAACAGACATGGAGAGGAAGAGCCAGAGCTGGCTTCCGAGAGGCAGAGCCAAGAGTCAGGAGCAGAGGGTGGGAGCAGGCAGAGTGCTGGCAGCAAGGCGGGGGAGGACTACGGCTGGCACGGCGGGTCGGGAAGTCTTGGTGGACTGGCAGGCTTGCCGGAGCCCTGTCCTGGCCATGGGAAGACCGTCCTCATTAAGCACTGTGCTTTTCTGTTGATGACGTTAAGGATGGCGGTGGGTCTGTATGTTCTGGTTTTGCTGGGGGATGGTTGCTTGGTTGATGTTCATGTTAACAAGTGGATAGCTTCTCATCAGAGAAAGTCCGAGGCCATCCTGCGCTGTGAGCTGCTTACTAGTGATCAGTTCTGACGTGGCGAATCCGAGTCTGCCCTCCTTACTTTTCTCTAAGCGTGTGGCTTTGCACTCCCTTTTTTCTCTCGGTGCTGGTCTTCTCCTGTGTCCTGTGACAGTGGTTCCTTGTCTGTCTAAGCTGCCAGGTGTAGTGTCCTTCTCTGCTCTGAGTCTGCCATTGTATAGCTTCTCACTTTGCTTGGAAAGGGCCCAGGAGTTCACCCCGCCTTCTCCTTCAAGCACAAGTGTTAAAGATGCCCGGCTCAGATTTAGGGGTTTGATTGTGAAAAGGTGTGGTAGTGTGTCCCTCTGTCCTGTGACCTATGTAAACCTGACTTTCTCTTTTCATGCTCTTGATGTAGGAAATAGGAAATCTGAATAACCTGCTGTGCTTAGATGTCTCTGAAAATAAGTTGGAAAGACTTCCTGAAGAAATCAGTGGCCTGACTTCATTAACAGATCTAGTAATTTCGCAGAACTTGCTGGAGAGCATTCCAGATGGCATTGGTGAGTACTGGAAGGGCCGTCCTGTGCAGAGCTGCCTGCGATTGTCGTGAGCACTTGGATTGTCGCCAGCCTTTTGGTCACTATTCTTAGGTCTTGCGAATACAGCTTTGTAAAGTCTCCTTGTTTTTGATACTAGTCTGTTTTTTCCTTCCCCTGGGGACTTGGGGGGGAGACTTTACTCTGAGCCACACCCCTGCCCTTCTCATTTTTATTTTGAGACAAAGTCTTGCTAAGTTGCCTAGAGGGAAACTGAACTTTCAATTCTCCTGCCTCTGCCTCCTGGACTGCTGGGATTACAGAGGTCCACCACCACACCTGGCTTGTGGCTTGTTTTTATTTTCATTTATTTTTTGGTGCTGGGGATCGAATTCAGGACTTTGTGCTTGCCAGGCAGGCACTTACGCGGCTGAGCTATCTCCCTGGCCCTTGTGACTTGTGGTTCAGGTTTCTCGGATTTGCTAGCAGTTGGGAGTGGTCACTCCTAAGTGTCACCGCATTCATCTGCTTCATCCACATCGTGTCCCACCGGCCTCAGGAGGGAGTAGCCCAGATCATGAAATGGTTAAGCATCCGAGTGGTCTCCACGACATTTCTAATCCATACCCTAAATAGTTCATGAGGAGCTAGCCCATGGCCTTGCTGTGTGACCTAGGGCAGGCACTCCTAAGAGGAATGTGTAATTGAGGCCTTTCCTAGCACAGTGAGGACTGTCACAAATATTCCGTGTGATTTCCTTTTAAAATAATCAGCCCACACATTTCTTTTTCTATAAAGGAACTCAGTCCAGTGTGAGAAACTGAGCATAAACAAGATACGAAGAGATTGTTTCGCTAGGCCACAGTCCCGTGGAGCTTATGAGAAGCTGTTTACCATCCAGTTCCCACAGGGCTGTCCCTTTAACTTTTACTCAAAACATCAAAAAAGGTTGAGGAAGATCTGCAGGAGTTGGAGAAGCTGTGGGTCTCAGGACCGCTTCCTGTCTGGTACTGGGTCAGAAAGCAAATGGTAGGAGTGCAGGTGTCCCGAGGGGCTTTCGCCGAAGCTGGTGGAAAGTGGACAGGGATTTGGCTGTTAGGAGCGTTCGCCATGGCTCTTGAAAGTGCTTGTAGGAACTGCACGTTTTGGTGCTTGGAAGAGGAGGAAGTAGCAGATGTGAGCCGCTGACTTCACGTGTTTGTCTGTATACAGACTTACTAAGTGGGAAAGATGAAAGGATTGTGTATCTCAGCCTCACTGAACGAGCCCCAGAGTGGTGACGAGTTTCTGGGCTGATGATGAAGCCCTGAGTGCCCCTCCCTGGAGGAGGTGCTCTAGGCAGGTGTGGGGCCGCTGGCCGCGGAGCCCCTGCTGTGAGGCCTGTGCCCACAGAGACATTCCCTGCAATGCCGGTGGGTGGGAGCCTTCCGGGACCTGCTGGCCGTGGAGCCCCTGCTGTGAGGCCTGTGCCCACAGAGACCTTCCCTGCAATGCCGGTGGGTGGGAGCCTTCCGGGACCGGCTGGCCGTGGAGCCCCTGCTGTGAGGCCTGTGCCCACAGAGACCTTCCCTGCAATGCCGGTGGGTGGGAGCCTTCCGGGGCTGTTTCAGTAGATTGTTGGTACTGCTAAATAAAGCTTAAGGATGGACGAGTTCTCTCACCTCGCCCTGCCGATACACACCTGCTGGATGCTCCTTTCATTGTTACCCATCATCCAGTCCAACAGTCTTTGTGGACTGTTTTCTGATTGGGCGAAGGTGTCCTGCCAGCAGCTCAGGGCCAGTGACCAGGAGCCTCGGCCCAAGTTCAGCCCCCGCCTTAACGCGGAAGGTGGGAGGCCCAGTGAGTCTGGTCTCCCTCCTCCTGCGAGGTGCTGAGGAGACTGGCTCACACTCAGCCCTGGGGCGGCCAGAGCAGGAGCGCCAAGTCCCCGCCCCAGGGACACAGCCACAGTCCTTCCTGAGGCTCCCCAGGAGGCCTCCTCTCCCCAAGGCGCCTCTGCCTTGGGTCACAGAAGTCCCTGGAGCGATCTCTCCAGTGATTTATAAGGGACCACTGTCTTAGCAAGCTGGGTCGCAGAGGGAGGGAGGTCCCTCTGTTCTTGGCAGTCCTGCCCGCCCCAAGATCTTGGAGGGCCAGCTGTTTGTGCTTGGCATTTTTTGGCTTTGGAATGCAGTTTTGGGTAGTGCTGCCTAAAATGAGTTGTTTCTAGTTGCTGACTTTCTGATGTTTGAACAACTTAATTCTCAACCTTCTGTACTTAAGTGAAAGAGGTGTAGCATGGAGGGAAAGCTGGCTGGGGACACGGGAAAGCTGGCTGGGGGTGCGGCCCAGCGGCAAGCGGCCAGGTGAGCAGGACAGCTGTACTAACGAGCTCACTTCCACTCTGCCTTTGCAGGGAAGCTGAAGAAGCTGTCCATCTTGAAGGCGGATCAGAACAGACTCACGCAGCTGCCCGAAGCCATTGGCGAGTGCGAGAGCCTCACAGAGCTGGTTCTTACGGAGAATCGGCTCCTGGTGAGTGCGGTGTGCATACTGCGGAGGGCCGGCTGGTGCTGGCTTCCCCCACGTGGGCGTCAAGTGGACAAGGAGACCAGGGAAGCTCGGCAAGCTCCTGTTCTCTGCTCCTTGAGTACAGAGGTCCCTGGAGCAGTGATATGGCCGGAAGCCACGGTCATGTATGTGCTCACCGCCTGGTCCCCGCTTCACCCGTCTCTGCCACTTCGTCTTCTCCTGTCTGTCTCGCAGTTGTCTCCTGCCTGCTTTTTTTTTAGTCAGGGTGCTTTTCTAGGCAAGCACTCCCCTCCGAAGTGGAGCACTCTCTTCATACTTTCTCCAGTCCCTGTTTTCTTGTTGTTACTGTCCTTTTTGCCCTACCTTTCCTCCTTTTCCTCCTTAAGCAGGGCACATGGTGCTCTTTCAGGAAAAGAGCAAATAAAGATGGCAGGAGAGGAATGCATGCTCAGATAGCGGGTGCGGGGGGGAGGGGCCCGGGGCCAGGAGGCAGAAGGGTGATACTCTCCCGCTGCTGCACCGAGACCCCGCACCATGCAGCCGCCTCCCTGCCCTGGCCTCGAAGCGCCAGCTCGCAGTGCAGCCACCCCGCCTCTGCAGTCCCCAAGACCACAGTCCCAGGGTGCTCTTGAAGTGAGGGCTGGGGTCGGAGAGCTCCATGCCTCCGTGACCGGGTGCGTCTCAGTTCTGAGCCTCTGCCTCTGCCTCCATGTCTTTCGAGCATAGGCTCTTATCCAGGAGGATTCAGGTGTGCAGTTCTGCTTCCCCAGGTGAGCCTACAGATACCTGGTGTTCAGAGGAGCTGCGTGTTGTGCTGGAGTTTAAGTCTTTGAAAATACCTGTTTTGCTGGGAGCCATATTAAAATGTGTGATGAATTAATAATATAAAAATTATTTTAACAGACCTTACCTAAGAGCGTTGGAAAACTTAAGAAGTTGAGCAACTTGAACGCAGACAGAAATAAATTAGTGTCTTTACCAAAAGAGGTATGTGCCTTCAAAAAAACCACATGATAAGAACTGCAAAGACATAATGGCGTGGGGTCAACGATATCGAAGGCATCTTTAATGTCTGAAAGGCTTGCGGTTTGAAGGCGTGTGCATGAAGCCAGCAGAGGAGCTATGCCGGAGGACGGTGCCGAGCAACAGGATGAGCTGGGGAAGGAGGACTGGAAGTGCAGAGCGACGCGCTGGCTTGGGGCTTGCTGTATAGGGAATGGGGACGCTTGGCCAGAAGGGGGTAGTGTGGAGTGTGGCAGGGGGCATGGATGACTTCGGGTTTGGCTGTTGAATTTAATGTGAAACCAAACTCTGTCCCCTAAGCCATTGGCATTTTGAAAATGGACCTTGCTGGATCCCTGAGTCTGTCGGGTGAGAGGTTTCCTTGTCACACTCCAAGGAGGGAGGTAGTCACCGTCTGTTCTATAGTAGCTGTGGGACCTGGCGGCGTCTACCTTCCATCCAGGAAGGCCGACATGCTGAGGATGGGGGGAGATTAAGCCGGATGCCTGCTGCCTTCACACTGGGGACTGGGAAAGCTGGGTGTGTTACAAGTAGTGTAGCCTGAAACTAAGTTGAAGGCCCTTGTCCCTCCCATCAGTGGAGCGCCTGGTGAGACTGCCCCTGCCAGTCTTCCGCTGCAAAGGTTATTTGTTTGTATGCTGCGAGCCCTGCTCAGGCACAGGCATCTTCTCGTTTCTTTCCTTAACCCTTTGCAGCATCTGTCCTAGAATAATCGCAGCTGGAAGGCCAGGTCACTCTTTGCTCGGGGCACCCTTAGCTTCCTCACCCTTGCTCTCGTCTTGGCGGTCTGCCCACAGGCCCAGCCTTCCCCTGTGAGATGCTAGCATTCCTGAGAGGAAGCATGGACATACTGGTCATGACTGTGGCACACGTGCACTCTGACACATCTTTAATATGAGCACTGACAGCCGAATAAAACTGTCTGCAGCAGACTGTCTCAGCTGAATTGGGACACAAGGTTCTGCTAATCAAAACATTTTGGCTCCAGCCTCTAAGCAGTAAACCCAGCACAGCTACACTCTGAGCCTTGATTTTGCTCTTGCTGAGTAACAGCTGCAGACAGGAAGTGGCTGAGCATGCGACTTCTGCACAGGAGTGGACAGAGGAGTGGTGTCTCAGTGCCGCGTGGGTCTTGGATGTGTGCGTCGCTGATGAAGTGTGTCAGCTCGCTGGATCCTGAGAGGAGCTCTTGGTCATGGTGGTGTCCTTATTTCTCAGGCCAGAGAGTGTTAGGGCTCAGCAGAGAGAGTTGGTGGGTCCCTCGGGTCCAGCCCAGCTTTCTTCTGTCTGACTTCAAGATAGGGAGAGACCTTGATTCAATAAAGAAAGGTCAAATTACCTTGCGTTTGGATGTTTTAGAAAGTTAAGACAGTTTAGGAATATTTTTGAGGCAGATGCTAAGGAGGGGGCTTTCGAGTTTAATGTTCCTTCACTGTGAGTTTCACGCAGCCTAGCTTCTCTGCACCTCCCTGCCTCTACCTAGGCACACATCCTAGAGAGGGACTTCAGAAACTTGGTATCAGAAACTGTTACCATAGGTGCTCCTGCATTCAGCAAAACAATCCAACACAGTCCAGCAGTGCACAATAGGAGTGGGCTATCCGCAGAAGTTGTTGACTAGAGCCCCCCACAGCTCAGCACATTAACATGGTTCCACCCTATATACCTCGTTTCTACACTTCTCTGCTGGATGGCCAAGACCAAGACAAAGCAAGACCCACAACACAAGACAAGGTACCTATGGTATTTGGATGCCAGTGGAATACCCATCTCTGACAGGACTAAACAAAAAAGGGGGACGGATGCAGAGGGAGGGCCACTTTGTATTTATGTACATAGAATTGTTAGGATAGATACACAGCTGCTTTCGCTCAGTTCAATGAGAAGAAAGATTTGTAGTAATGATGTTTGGGCGGGATGTCCTGTCTGCTTCTTGTACTGTGAATAGCCACTAGGAGATAGCAGTGTACAATGTATTAATTATTGAAGGTGTCCTATTGATCAGCTTTGGAGCTGTCTCATTGATAGTTGTTTCTCAATAAAACAAAACAAAAAAAATTCAATGAGGAAAAAAAAAGAAACTGTTACCAACATTTCAGCCCCGGGCCTTTCCATTTTAAATGAGCAAAAGTCACGCTCAGTGTTTCTGATTAGAGGGCCAGACACAGCATGTGTCATGTATCAGTTTAAATTTACTAGCTCAACTTTTCTTGATGAGAAAAGTGAAGATGAGACTGGGCATGGTGGTGCAGGCCATAATCCCAGCGCTTGGGAGGCTGAAAACAGGATTACAATGAGTCTGAGCTCTGCTTAGTGAGACCCTGTAGACCCTGTACTAAATATATGGATGGATGGATATATATATATATATATATATATATATATATATATATATATATAGTGAAGATAGTGTAAGGCTACTTCTAATTTTGAAGTACTTCAGCTGTTCCACTTTGTCTATTTTCTGGGTAACTGAGATTAGTTTTCTGGCCTCTAGCGTTCTATGATTTCGCTCAGCTGCTGGGTAGAGCAGGTGATGCATCGTCTGGCACACCAGGGCAGGCTGCCTGCAGCCCTGTCCGCCGGCCTGACACTCCCCCGCAGGGCGCTCAGGGCAGGACACTCCCCAGCCCGCCTCGGCTCCGCCCCCACCCGAGGGCTGGCGTGAGGGCTGGCGTGAGTGACCGAGCCTGACATGGGTGGGGCCCCCAGGCAGGCCACTGTCCTCCTCCTGTGTGATGTGGGTGGTGTGGTACTGTGAACAGTCTACAGGGCCATCCCTGGCCATCTGGGGGTGTGCGTGTGTGTGCTTATGTGCTGCGTCTGACTTCATGCCTAATATCATTTGAGCGAGGCTTGCATTTTTTTAGTTGTATTCTTTTCTTCCTAAAATGTCTTCCTCTCCCCTGAACAGCTCAGCTGCATACATGGCATATCTAAACTGAGCTTCTGACTGGTCGGTTCAGTTTATATGCCAGAAGCCCATAGCTGTGTAAGCTGCTGCTGCTGCTGTGGTGTATGGTGTGGCCCTCCCTGTATTTGGTCTGTCTGTTTGAAACTTCGATGGTGCTGCATATTGCCAGTTTTAGGGCATAGCCCCCTCATCTGCAGTAGTATTTATTTGCATTTGTTTTTCCTGAATGATCTCTAGAAAAATGTTTTTAGTATGTGGATCACAATAATAGATTGTGTTTGTGCTTTGTGATGTTATTTGTGGTAAACATTTGTAAATCAATGAATGTTTCTTGTTTTCTTAATTGTTAGCTGCTTGGGAATTTAGAAAAGTCAGGTAAACTTGTTATCTTGTAAGTATGATTCAGACCACAGTTGCATCTTTTTTATTTTGCTTCTTAGATGCATGAAGATTCAAATTGGCTGACACCTTCTGTGTTCTTCATTGTACAGTGTTGGACATGAACCCTAAAAACTCTCGTGATGACTGCATGGCCTGAAGTCTTATACTATCATGTGTTTTTCAGATTCATTCAGATTATTTTCTCTCAAAAGAATGGTTTTCTGTCAGTTACATTTACGTTCCAAGACATCCTGAAAGGCGTCACTCCACCTCATCTGCCTTCACGCAGTGTGGTTTGTTGGCACGACCCCGTCTCCAGGGCCTCGCTGGGGTCGCTCGCTTCACTTGCTCCGTGTGGCTTCTCTGCTCAAGCCACTCATTTGCCCCTTTGATTTCTCCCCGTGTTGCTTCAGTACATGTGCTTCTGGGAGGCGGAGAGCCCCGCCAAAACGCAGCCGCTTGGCGCAGGGACGAGGAGGCGGGGCGGGCGCCAGTGGGACTGCGCAGAGCCAGCGCGGTGTCTCTGTGTGGTCATGGGTGTGCTGGACGAGGGCAGCGACTCCGGAGCGCTCCTTAGCGTAGCGTCCTTTACGCAGCCCGGACCGTAGAGACTTTCTGGCCGGAAGACGTTGAGCACGTGCCCATGTTTGCAGCCCTTCTCTTTGTGTCTCTGCACTGAGCCAAAGTGACAGTGACGGCCCTGCGTCGCCAGTCAGGTGAGAGGAGCTGGCACTGGGAGAGCTGCCAGTCTGGGCTGTTTTTTTTAAATCAGACAAGCTGCACATGTTTTTGTATGTTTTCATTCTAAATTGAATTATTGATAAAACAGATACGAAACTGAGTAACTTCAGAAGAAAATACAGCTTGCCAGCTCTTTCAAACATGGAGCATGTGTTCCTAAACTTGCAGGGGAAGTAAGTACTAAGTAGCACTCTTGATGGGTTTTTCTGTCTGAAAGATTCCTGAATTTAGAGAAGACAGAGATGACTTGTGGGCAGAGAAGAGATCTCTTCTTAACTCTGCAAGAAATTGCTTTACATAATACAAGTAGACAGAATCAAACCAAACAAGTGATCACAAAAGAAAATAACGGTCATTAATGTGCAACACTGTTGGCCTGTCAGTGTTCCCCTAAATACAAAAACACTTTAACCTATTGAAGTTTGAATATTTAAAAAAATACCATATATTGGCAAGTACCCATATAGATACATAAATATAACTTATTAGGGATTCTCTGGAAAGGGATGTGATAACATTTAAAACCTTAAAAATGTACCTACCCTTTTGCAGTTCTGGTCCTAGGAACGTGCCCTAAGAACATATCTGGGTATCCACTAAAAATCATGCACAAGGCTGCTTCTCACCTGCGTACAGCAAGAGCTCACATGCTCCAGGCCGCGTGCCAAGCACGGACAGAGGCTGAGGGCAGGGGACAGGCGTGCACCATGAGTGTGCCCAGGCAGATGACTGTGAATGGCTCTTGTATCAAGGGCTTGTGTACGTACCCTGGTCTAATTTTCACAAGAGCCCTGTGTGGTGCTTGTAAACTGTCACGTTGTCAGCAGCTTCGGAGCTAAGTAACCTGCTTGAGATGGCCCTGCAGAGCAGCAGCAGAGCTAGCCGGCCGCACCCGTGTGCACCTCAGGGGCTGCCCGTGCCGATCTGTGAAGGGCACGTCACAGCGGGAACCCACTGGCACCAGGGTGCGGAGCGGGAGTTGTGGGCCGCGAGGGTGCTGCAGGCTGACGTCGGCCTGGCTCGCTGATGTGCGTGGGCTTGCCAGCGCATGGCCATGTGGCTGGAAGCACCAGTTTCCGGGTGTGCGGTGGGGTCTGAGCTGTCCTCCTGTTGTGCTTTCCTCCACATGTGGGTTTTATTTTCCAGCTGATGTTAACTTACCTCGTAATAATCAGAGAAGATAATACCATAGCCATTAGTGGATATTTGATGTCAATGGCCCAGTAATTCAGGGAATCTCAAAACCACATGATTTCTAGAATATTTATAAAGTAGGGAACATTTGGGTAACATTCCCCACGGGATGATGGGATTCTAATGCTATATATAACATTATTTCTCTGCAACTTTTTTTTTTTTTTTTGCTTTTTATAAGTATTCAACTTTGCCATTAGTATGTGGGTTCAGATCCATTACAAATATTGAAAAGACACTGAGAACAAATGACAATTTTTTCACATTTGGGTAACATTCCCCACGGGATGATGGGATTCTAATGCTATATATAACATTATTTCTCTGCAATTTTTTTTTTTTTTTTTGCTTTTTATAAGTATTCAACTTTGCCATTAGTATGTGGGTTCAGATCCATTACAAATATTGAAAAGACACTGAGAACAAATGACAATTTTTTCACATATAGGTCAGGCCTTCACGGTGGCATGTAAGCCACAAAGGGGACCAGTGTGGCTTTCTCTGTGCATCAGCGAATCTGCCTGGTCAGCCAGCACAGGCTTGAGCCTCAGGGCGGGTGGTCTGCTTGGAGCTTCCCTCCGTGGCCGTGGATTCTGCGTTCTGGAGCTGGCTTAGCTCAGTGTCTGAAGTTAAGTTCAGTATCATCCTTTATTAACAGAGACACAGAACAGTTAACCAAGAATCCTCAGCTCCATCCTGTAATTCTCAGAGAACCCAAGTCCAGCCCCTCGATTTCTGGGAAGGTACTATTATGTGGTTTAAGGGAAGCTTAAAATATCAGCTTCCTACATAACTGGCAATAAGTTACTTAAACAGCTCCGCTTCCCAGAATTTCTAAGTGATACAGACATTTTATCCTGATGACCGCAAGAAAGCTGCAGTTCTGCCTGCTGCCCAGAAGACAGGGCAAAGGCTCCTGTGAAGCGGAGGTGCAGCCTGTCACCCCGCTTGCTTCACTCGGATGCAGACTCAGTATCTCTGGGACATGTTGCCCGGGAGACAGGTTTTAAGACATCCAGGTGAGGTCAGCAGAGTGACAGTGACGTCGGCATGCTCCACAGGCAGAGCAGGCGCTGGTGTGGGGGCTCATCCCTGGGCACTCAGGCTTTCCCTTCTTGGGACACAGCCACTGCCGCTTCCATTTGGTAGCAGCAGCAGGCTAGGGTCGTGATAGGCCCTGCATTGTCATGTGGCTTTATTTAATTTAGTTGGTGGTTAGAATAGCATTCCCAGACCCACAGAGCACGTGACCGAGCCTAGACCCCAGCCATGTTAGCACGCCCTCAAAGCTCCAGCCAACAGCCACACCCCTTCTGACATCTATAACGAACTCTCTATTTTGAGTTTTGGCTTTACCGGCTTTCTAGAAACCAAATGTTTGTGCCATCCCTTCCTGGCTACATGGGAATAGAGCACTGTTTGGGTGAGTGTTTGTGGGGGACAGTGTATACTTGTAAAGTGATGAGGGCACCCTGGCATGCTCTGTGGCGGCCTGTGCTCTTCGTTGGCAGTGTTTCCAGACACCAGAGACAGTCGCACTCGGAGGGCACGCTGGCTCCTTTGCCTGCTCAGAGCGCATGAGAGGCTCCTGGACACCTTGTCCACTCTTGACCTCCTGAGTGGGCGTGAGATTAGGTTGGGAAAGGAAGTGGAGGGAGGTGAAGCTGTGCACACAGAGACCCCTCACGTGCCCCCTGGAAGCATGTGTTGTGTCCCCAGGACTGAGAGTTTGTGAGCTTGTCCTGAACTTTTAGAGTTGCTTGGCACACTCTAATTCGTGAGTTAATTTTTATCTCATGCTACATGGATATGACACAAGTGCAAATTTTCATGTAGTGCAAGTGGATGGTGTCAGTTCTTACAGACAGGGACAGTGGAGAGCTGCAAGGCACAGTGGCAGCCCACGTCGCAGCCTGGCTCAGTGCCTTGCACGCCAGAAATCCCCTGTGCCACGGTCTGTTGTCCCTCCTTTGGTGTGGAGAAAGCCTTGCCTTAGGGTCTAGCAAGATGCACACCAAGGCTGACCTGGAAGGTCCCCTCTGGCACCCAGCCCAGGCAGCACCTAGACATGCAGCAGCCCTCCGAGTGGGCGTGCAGGGGAAGGGTGCCGCACAAGACACAAGTTTCCCTTCTGTGAGAGGTCTTGTCAAGACCTGATTTATTTAGAGTATCTGCTAGCATCAGTTCTCGCAAGGATCAATGTTCTGATTCCTTTCCTCCTGTGAGGTCCTTGGGCATCTTAATAAAACTGGTGATTTCCTTCCTTGATAGAGGGAAGAAAGACTGAGCCATGGGAGAGAGTGGTTGCATGTCGCCTCTAGGCTGTCATGCCAGGGTTCTACATTGACAGAGCCCAAGGGAGCCTGCCACTCTTACTCCTCCTAGAGCCAAAGAAACATTCCTTGTGTCTGTTACTACACATAGAAGCAGATTCCTTTTACATAGCACCTTTTCACAAGCAAGTAAGCCTATCTAAGAGAGATTTGGTAGGTATTTAGGCTGGACACAGTAGGTAGATGGGATGGGGACTGCGCTTGCCAAGCTCCCTGATGGTATGCGAACCTGTACAAATTAAACAGCAACTTCATCAGATGGCCTTTGGAACCTGCAGGAGGCATGGTGTCTGAGAGAGTGTTAGCAGAGCCCTGCATCGGCTTCCAGGCTAGAGGCTCTGGAGAGAGCTTAGGGTGCCCTGGAGCGCGGTAGCCTAGTTCTGAAGGCTTGTTCCGTAAGAAGCAGGGTTGCACATACCAGGTGCGGTTGGGGTATGACTAATGAGGCCAGCTTTCCTTGGACGGGACAGTCAGCATGTTACTATGGAATCAGCGGGGCAGCCTGATGGCCCTGCGTACGGGCGCTCCCATGGGGCTGGCGGTGACTGTTCATCCATGTCTTGAATTACGCTTATTTTTATTTTCATCCATTATGGTTAAGTGCTGTGATTGAATATGTTATTTCAGAATCTTTATATTAGCTATTTAGGGAGGAAATAAAAAGACTGTGTGAAGGTCACTGTGCAGCAATTTTATAGACATTCTGCCTTTCTGAGTCCTCACTACACTTATTAAGTACATGTGTAAGTACAAAAGGGCAGAAGATCTGTCCAGGAACCCTTGAGGAGCCAGGCCCCTTGCTGCCCTTTGAGGAGTCAGGCCTTGTGCTCTCCTCTGTGGGAGGCCCTGGAGTAGTGTTTCCTGTCACCAAGGCAGTCGGTCGGCCCTTCCTGCCTTCCCCCCGGCGAAGGCTCTTGGCCAGGGCAGCAAGCCCCAGAGCCCTGTGCACTGCATGGAGCCCCGAAGACTGTGCCGGGCTCAAGTTATGCTTCCATGCCTTTGGCTCAGCTTTCCTGCCTGGAAAGCCCACTGTCCCCTTATCTGAGAGAATCACTGAGTGCTTCTCACTGCATTTTGAAGGTGAGACTCATGTAATATTCATTTGCCGCCCACTTGCTCACTTAGAAGAGAACATCTGATGTGGGTGCAGTTACTCCTTCACGTGATTTCTCTGCAGATCACAGCTAGACAGATGAGTGTGTGTGTGTAGCTAGGGTTCCTTCTTGCCAGAGTAGTAGTGGCTTTGCATTCATCCAGAGAGTATGGGGAATGGGTTTGAGGGTGTCTGAACTTTTTTGTTTTGCCAAAAGAATTTGTGAATGACCAAAAGTGGTTAAAAGATACGTGGTAGAAGTTAACGTGTTGTCCATCAGGTTCTTGTTTCCCTTCTTAACCTGAACCTTGAGTGCCCTGAAGTTAAGAAAGTAGACAGGTTTGAACAGAGAGAGAGAGAGAGAGAGAGAGAGAGAGAGAGAGAGAGAGAGAGAGAGAGAGGATGCCCTTCTTTTTCTTTAGGCGGAACCGGGGATTGAACTCAGGCCCTTGCACTTGCCAGGGAAGCTCTTATTCCACGGGGCCATCTCCCCGGCCCCTGAGAGAGAGAGAGAGAGAACGAGAACACACAAGTGAGCGCACACATCTCTGGCCTCGCTTTTGAAACTAGAAGTTTCGTATTACTTCATAGTATCTGTCTGGATTTGCATAGTTTGGTTGACATATTTAGGAGATACATTTACATTAGGTATTAGCAGTAGGAAGTAACTTCAGAATGAAAAGTTTGACTGTTGTTGATTTTTCTGAACTTAATGTAATACGTGTATGCTTAGCCATTTGTATGATTTAAATTCATTGCATCTGGTCCACAGAGAGAGGTAAACTCGCGTATGTCTCCGTGTGTCTTTTCGTGCTGTTTGCTGGACAGGATGCTGCCTTCCCCATCCCTCCCACAATGGAATAAAGGTGCATTTTCATCCACTGTAGATTGGCGGCTGCTGCAGCCTCACTGTGTTCTGCGTGCGAGACAACAGACTCACTCGGATACCTGCCGAGGTGTCGCAGGCAACAGAACTTCACGTCCTAGATGTGGCGGGGAACAGGTGAGCATGGCCCCGCGTGCTGCTTGGCTTGAGAGACGAGTGCGCGGCAGTCCCCGCTTTGCTCTGTGGCTCCTGTCTCTGCTTCCCCTACAAGGAGCAGGCTGGCGCTTTGCGGCGTCAGGATCTGGGGTCTTGAGGTGGCAGTGAACACTGAGCCTGTGGGGCCGAGGCAGTCAGGGCCAGCTGGAGTTGGGTACAGCGAGGCCGAAGTGGACGCTTGCGCAGAGCTGCTTCCCAGAGTGAGGAACGGGACAGTCTGAGACAGCGCCCTGGGGTGGGCTTAGTCCTGGTCTTAGTTTCTCTGCCGAGTCTTTTGTAAGTCAGAGTGGGCCTCAGAGTTTTCTTACCTGCAAAATGCGCTTCAGTCAGTCTGAGCTTTTTTAGGACAGGATCTGGCTCTGTTGCCCAGGCTGGTCTTGAGCTGCTGGTCTCACGTGGTGCTTTGCCTCAGCCTCCGGTGTGGGCAGTCCTGCGTGGCACCACGCCCAGCCAACTCTGAGTCAGTGGTCTTGACTGATAGGCTGTGCTGGAGACTAGGAGTTCCTGAGTTGTGAATAAGACTCTGCCTATGGGGTGAGCTCTGCAGTAATGCCATGTGTCTAAATGGTTCATAGATGCGGCGAGAGCACCTGACGGCATCCCCGAGGCTGGAGCAGTGTGGTTGCCCAGGCCTGGACTCCTCACCGGTGTCTGGAGTTGGCTGACTCCCTGCTTCCTAGCAGGTCGCTTGGGCCGTACCACTCGGGCCCATTTCAGTTCTCTGGATAGTAATGTGTTCCAGGCCCCTGGCTCCATCCCTGCTGTGGTTCTTGGTGAGCCATGCTTCTTGGCCCTTGATGGCCTTTCCTTTGAGCCTGCTTCTGGGGCCATCCCTGCCAGGCACTCACAGCACCCCGTGGCAATGGCAGTAACCCTCCCTCTGGGAGCTGCCTGGGCTCGTGGTCCTGGCTTCTGTGTCCCTGGCTCCCATGGCTTTCACAGCTCCTGGGTGCCCTCGTATCCGTGGCTTTATGAAAATGTAACAGTTTACAGGAGCAGCAGCGTGGCATTGTAAATCATCTACCACAGTTTCTGTTGCCAAAAAGAATGTAAAAGTTGCTTTTGAAAAAGGGGTAGTTGGGGGCCAGGGATGTGGCTCAATGATACAGTGCCTGCCAGGCAAGCTCAAAGTCCTAAGTTCAATTCCCAGTACCAAAAAAAGAAAAAATAATATGGTTAAGTAGAGAAAGTGTCCACCTAGGGAAAGCTGCTCTGTGGCTTCTGTGGAGATAGCCAGCAGTGGGAAAAGCGTTGGGGCATTCTCATTCACTGAATGAGTGAATTGGGGTCTCCTGGGGGTTGGGGAGCTGCTCACTCAGGCACAGGCTCCCATTTCTCATCGGCAAATGGACTTTAGACAGCCGGCGTAAGTCGAGTCTGCAGTGGGGCTGGGGCCCAGCGCGCTCACCTCTTCAGGGTTAGTGCTTTCAGGACATCTTGATAGACTCGTAAGACCAGCAAGTGGCTGCTGCTTCTCGAGATGGGTTTGCGCTCAGCGTTGAGTTTCTGCTGCGGTAGCCCTCACGCGAGCTGTTGGAGAGAGCAGGGTACGGCAGCTGGGGGCCGCTGCACCCCTGTGCTGCCCCAGGGTGAGAATGAGTGTGCGTCGTCCGTTCCTGAGCAGAAGGATGGCTCAGGCGTCTGACACCGCAGTGCACAGAAGTGAAGACCTCATCCTGCTGCTCTCAGAAGACTAAAGATTGTGATTTTTATTATGCTTCAGTCAGGGTGGAGCAATCCAATTAAAAGTTGATGACAGAGCTGTCATCTGAGTCAGCTGAGCCTGCCAGTTAATCCATGTGCATAGAGATGCATAACCAAATTTTAGCGTTATTAGAATACGGAATCACCACTTGTTTAAAAGTATCAGTGTGGAGACTAATAAAAAGCTTGCTGTGTCTGCCCCAGCCTTCAGACGTGTGGCTGCACGGGAAACTCTGCTAAGCACGCCAGGAGCTTGGGCCTCGGTCAGCACGTGGCATGGGGAGAGCCCCGCGAGACTGCGAGGCGGGAGACAGCAGCATGGGCGGCTGCGCAGCACCGCCTGGAGACCAGGTGGAGGCCTGCCAGGCAAGGCAGGGAAGGGGCTCCGCCATCCTCAGTTCCGGGCCCGGAGCTGTCCACGGGGTGGCCCGTGCTGTACACAGAGCTGCCAGGAGCTGGCCTCTCTGCGGTGTCACGGCATCAGCCCCCAGAGACAAGTGGCTCTCTGCTTGGTGGGGGGTGTGCCTTGGAATTTGGGAATTCCATGAGACCCTGATCTTAAGTGTGAGCGGACAGCACGGTGGCATGGCCGCTCAGTGGGACACTCAGTCCGAAAACGAGCCACCTTCTTGGCATGACACGGAAGGAGGCCCAGAATGTTGAGTAAGAAGTGTTAACGTAGCCCAGGCAACCCAGCAAGGCCCTGCCTCCAAATAAAAAAGAAGTGCCGGGGTGTAGCTTGCGGAAAAGGCCCTGCCTGTTTCAGTCTGCAGTACCAAGGGGGAAAAAAGAGAAAAAAGCACGTGTTGAATGGTGTCCGCACCTCTTCAGTTTTGTTTTTCTAACTAAGAAAACCTCATCTGTGTAACACATGAAAACATCGTTACTTCTCTTGGAGGGGAGGGGTCACAATTTGAGGTTGGGGGGTTATTTTAGAGATGTTGGCATTGTTAGATTTTTTTCAATGATTATATTCTAGATTTGTATATACATTTAAAATGTAGTTTAAAATCAAAAACGTCTAGTAGGGAAGAACGAACAGATTAAATTGTAAACAGTATTCAGCTTTCAGGGTAGGTGGATCAGTAGGCTGCCCAGTGACTAATTTGATAAAACAGCCGCTGGGGCAGCTCTGAGGAGGCATCCGCAGGGTCTGTGGGGCTGCCTTGGTGGTGGACAGCTGCGGGCGAGGTGCTCACGCTTCGGCGATTTGCTCTTGTCCTTGCGCCGTGGTGGAAGCAGTGAGCATGGGCTTTTACTCCTGGATGCGGTGCCGAGGAACACGCAGGTGTGTGCAGCAGACAGGGCCGAGGTCCCAGTGCTGATTCCTGTCTGCAGTGTGCGGGAGGTGCCAGAGTAGAAGGAAGACGGGTTGCCGACTCCCCTGGAGGGCAGAAAAGGACTGTTTTGGCCTATTTTCTGATTTGCAGCTGGGATGGCTCACCTGGAGAGACCCAGAAGAGACTCTGTGTGTGTGTGTGTGTGTGTGTGTGTGCGCGCGCGCGTGTCTCCCCCGGACAAGTGAGTCACCAGGCAGCTTGGCACAGCAGCCCAGGCTGTGTGTGGCACAGAGACAGGGCCTTCTCTGTCCTCTGTGCCCCCTCTGATGCCATTGCTGTCCACACAGCTGGGCGTGAGCTCGTGTGTGGCGTGAACCTGGCCAGCAGAGCCCCTGTTGAAGCAGCACTTCATTAGGAAGAAGACCAGTGTTTTAGCCAACTCTTTAATATGAGCTGAAGTATAGCAATAAAGTGCTGTCTGCACAACACCTAGGGAGGTGTTCCGGCGTTCATACCCCGGTCTCCCCTGGTGTGCTGGTGGCAGCGGTCCTCTCGGCCCCTCTCACACCTGGTGCGGCATGTGGTCGGCGGCAGGTTCAGCAGGACTGTGGCGCCGGCACAGTGTCCGTGTGCTGTGCTGGCTTCCATGCCCTGGTGCCTTCGCGGGGTCTGATGGAGAAGGCTAGATTGCTGCCCTACACTTCCTGCCCGAGACTTGAACTGCCAAACATTCTGGAGGATAAGAACTTAACTTTTAAGAAAATAGGAAAAAATTTCAAAAGAAACTGTCCTTTTGTTCCATAAAATGGAAGAATTTGATGTGCTTCAAGATTTCAGTGTCTGATGGATATTCTTTTATCACAGTGACTAACAAATGCAAGGGTTGGGAAGAGAGCTCAGTGGTGTACGTGCCTGCCTGGCAAGCACAAGGTCCTCAGTTCAGTCCCTGGTACTGGAAAAATAAATTTAAGAAAATATACGTCTTCCTTGTATTTGGATACATGTGTGATAGCAGAAGAAATAGTTTTGTATAAGCCCTAGAGGTTTCTACTCCATTTGAGGCACAAATACCTCGGAGTGAGAGGGGTTGGAGCTAAGGGGTCCACCTCCCTTCAGTTCTCTGCACGGCCGCGTCCTGTGAGCATCTCCCACCCCACGGCCTTCGCTAGTGAAGTCCTGTGTGCACAGTACCTAGTGTCTTCGGAGGCATGCACGTGAGTGCAGCGCTCATAAGTGTGCGAGACTGCATGATGGGTACTTGGTGCAGCACATGGTCTGAAGCCGGATGGACCAGCCCCTGCTGCCCCAGGTGTCCTGGGGGGACAGTTGTGTCATCCCTGAGCTGACACGTCAGAGATGCTTCCGGAACATGGGTTGTGCCGTGCTTCGTTCCTTCATCACTGCTCACTGCACTCTGGCTTTTAGCTTCTTTTATTGTGGTAATAACCGATTTATGGTTACATTTTACTGAGCTGTGTTCTATGATACTGAGATGCGGCCTCTCCCCATAGCTCTGCATAGAGACCTAATGTTTTCCCCACCAGTTCAGTTAACCTAAAATTCTGACAGCACACCGTTAATTTATTGTTGAGATAGAGGTAGAGTCCTAGTGGAGGCAGGTATGTGTCTGTCTTACAGAGCACCTCCCTGCTCCATCTATGACTCAGTGACAAGGACGATCATTGGAGTGCGAGCACTCGGTGACGGGAAGCCTTCACTTCCCCAGACCATGGGCTCTCGGCATTTAGGCTGCCTTGGGTCGCTTACAGAATGAAGCTGAGTGCTGCGAAGCATTGGCTCAACCAGGCAGCGTCCCCGCGCCAGCGGCATCCCTGAGGGCTGTCCTGTGCGCCCTGCGTGTCTGCTGCAGCGCATACTGGACGGTGTTCCTGGCCCTCGCCCGCTTAGCGTCCTCCCAGCCCGTGTCACAGGCACCGCTGTCCAGATGTTCCTGGCGCCCCACGGGGCAGGGCGGCCTCTGGCTGACCACCTCTGTGTCGCAGCAGTGCTTACGTAGGGCTTCCTCCACTGCGGTCTTTATCTAATAGGTTCACACGTTGCTGCCGTGCTGACAAGTATCTGCTCAAGTACAAGAACAAAACTAGTCTTGAGTGTCACATTATAAATTTTACAGTGCTTTCCTGTGGATGCCTCACTTGAAATGCAAACAGGCCGACATACATACTAATTATCACCAAGGAGTCTGAGAGGTGGGAGTGTCTAGAAGCTGGTAGATAACAGTTTAAAGTGGAAGTACTTCAGATAACCTCCCCAGAGGAGGCCAGTAGAGTCAGTGGAAATGGTTCTTAGCCTGCACTTCAGCCGCTGCTTCCACGCCCTGCTGCCTGGGAGCCCGTCCTCCTGCAGTCCCGACGCGCCTGCACCTGCACCTGCTCCAGCCAGTGACAGCTCGCGCTTCTGCTGCTGGTGGCCTGCTGCTTTTCACCTCCCACAGGCCTCGCTGTGTGCCCGTCCCTCCGAGCTTTCTGCCCCGGGGCCTGCAGCCCCAGGGAGAGCAGTGGTGGTGACAGCGGCAGCCACAGAGTCCTGATGGATGGAGTCAAGGCTTGCAAAGAGCAAATTTTGTGTTGTGATTTTCCACACTTTGACCTGGTCTTGGTGTCTGCCTGTTTTTTATTGGCAGGAAGTAGTTTGTGGAAGAAGTCTTAGGTTGTGATGTGTCCTTTGGTTTCTCTTCAGGTTGTTGCATCTGCCCTTGTCACTGACTGCCCTGAAGCTGAAGGCCCTGTGGTTATCTGACAACCAGTCCCAGCCTCTGCTCACTTTTCAGACGGATACAGACCACACCACGGGAGAGAAGATCTTAACTTGTGTCTTACTGCCGCAGCTGCCTTCTGAACCTTCCCGTCAAGGTGAGTTTCGGCCCGTGCTCCCGAGGCCGTGAGAGGGAGAAGTAGGTGACACCTGCCCACTGGGCCCCTGCTCCTGTATGTATGTTGTTGGGTCTGTGTGGCCCCTTCAGGAAAGTTCTCCTGTGCCCTTGCAGAAATAAAGCCGTGTACACCGCTTCAAATCTGGGGAGCAGCCTTTAGATCTGAAGGATCGCTAGCACTCCTAAGAAGAGTGACGTCTCCTATAGTCTGAGCGCGTAGCTTGGAGGGTCAGCAGCTAGCAGCTGGCATACTCTCTTCAGGTCTATGAGTTATTTTGAGTCACTGTGTGTTTGCTTTGTAAATTGTGTGGCTTTAAAAAAAATACGTGTACTTGCTGGCCAAATAGCTCAGCGGATTAAGGCACCTGCAAACAGGCGCAGGGGCCGGGGGTTTGATCCCCGGGCCTGCTGTGCTGGCCCTGCCCCCGGGTTGCACTGAGACTGCAATTAAGACTGGGCGTGGTGGTGCGACAGGCGGATCACTATGAGTCTGATCTAGTAGTGAGACCCTGAACACCCTGTAGACCCTTCCCTAAAAAATTAAAATAAAAAGAAAAGTATATATTCACACTAATACCAAGATGCTATTGGAAACTCTTTGTTGAGAGCTGGGTCACATGGAACTGAAGTCCCCTTGGGGAGCAAGCATGCCCAAGCAGCCGAGCTTGCAGTCGTCTTGCTGGATCCCAGCCACTGGGTGGGCTTTCTAAGACCACAAGAGAATAGAATGTGGTAGAGTGGCATTAGGGAAAGTCACCGCACGCTGGTCACGTCACTGCACGCAGAAGGCTGATGTTCTGGGTAAATGAGAATTACGAACAAGGACTCTTCCAGTTATTGATATTCTGTCACGAAATGAGCAGTGCACCGATATACTAGGTATTTGTATGATCTCACATAGAATTACCTGCCGTTAAAAAGAAGGGGAAGGGCCGGTGAGCGAGCTTAGTGGACTAAGCGCCTGCTCAGGCAAGTGCAGGGGCTGGGGTTTGAGCCCTAGCACCGTGTGCTGTGCTGGCCCTGCCCCGGGCACGCTGAGCCAGCCACCAGGACTGCGCATGGTAGCACACACCTGTAGTCCCAGCACTGCAGAGGCTGAAAACAGGAGGATCACTACGAGTCTGAGCTGCACAGTGAGACCCTGTACTAAATACATTTAAAAAATAAAAAGAAGGGGAGCCCTGCCCAGGCCCTTCGTTGTGAATGAAAACCACAGGCCACAAGTTGCCATGGGTCTGCCCGCCTTCGCTTCTGGTGCGGAGCCCTTGGCTCTGTGTGGCGCCTGCCGAGTGGCCTGAACCGCAGCCTGCACTCAGCCTCATGGGGCCGGGGCTCCTGCTGACGCGACCTTGTCCTTGCAGAGAACCTGCCTCGCTGCGGGGCTCTGGAGAGCCTGGTGCAGGACGTCTCCGATGATGCCTGGAGCATGCACCCTGTGCACAGGGTCAGTGCCATCCACTTCCTGGATGAGGACCGAGACGAGGATGAGAGTGAGACGGTGAGGGCCAGGGAGGGCGAGAGCGAGGTGGTGAGGGCCGGGAGTCGTGGCTTTCGTCTTGGGAGGTTCACATAAAGCCCTTCCCAGGTTGAGAATGACATCCATAAAGGCTTCTGTTCCTGTCTCATAGTGTGTCCTCTGTTTTGCCTTTAGCATTAGAAATTTTGTACGCGCAGAGCTGGGCCCCTCTGTGTACCCAGTTGCAAAGGTGAACAAGGCAGATGAAACTTCTGTTGTTACCTGGGTGGCCTGTGGAGCCTTTTTTCCATTGTGGTGTTTTCCACACCTGCCCGTCTGATTCTTCACACTGGGGCTTTTCTGTCTTCTGTGAGTGCAGTCCCTCCCATCCTGTGCCCACATGGGGCCATGCTGCGTGGACGGCACTCCCCCTCAGGACCCACCTGCAGACAGACTGCTCTCCTGTCTACGTGACCACTCGGCTTCAGCCTTCACACCTCCCGCTTGCTCTCTTAGCTGGAAACTTTCCACATTTTAATCCAGAAATCGGGAGAGTGGCCTTCCCTCCAGGAGTCTGTGGCAGCTCCTCACACCTTGCTAGCAGTTGACTTTGGCTTCTGAATTGCGTTGCGCCAAGCAGAGTTTTCATAACAGTGCTTAGAGGGAGGCCTGGCCATACCCAGGCAGGGACAGTCTTCGTTTTCAGCTGGTACCAGATGGAACTTGGAGCATTTGTAGTAGTAGGGTGTACACGGGCAGTAGGGATGACAGAACTACTTCACCCCCTGTCCTGCCTCAGTGCCCGCTTATCTTTGTCTCCCGCGACTCCTCGGCCTCCACGAGCCCGCCCGGGCCCATCTGCCCACTGAGCTTCCTCCTATGCATCCAGCGTGGATTCTCTCAGCAGTGTAGCCTGTGACCTGCAAAGCAGTGTGTACATATGGAGCGACTCAGAACTGCACATCTTGTCCGTGCCATGTCACTGTACCTCATGTGCTGTGGCTCATGGTGAGAAAATGAGATGTGCTCATGGGTTGTGTAACGAATGGCACACGCAGTAGTGAAAGCAGACAGGAAAGGCCATTCCTGCTTCCCTTTCTTCTTGCCTCCCGAGCCTCAAGGACTGACGGAGGTGCAGAAGACTATAATTAGGGCTGCTGGTTATTGAACTATTTATTATTGATCCATTTATCTTTTCTTTTATGTCCAGTAATTGCATCTAAATTGGCAGATTTTATTCTAGAAGCTTATTTTTCTCTTACACTAATCTTACAGTTTAAAAAGTGTCACCCCCACTGTGAAGAGATAGGCCACACGAAGCGCTTTACCTGCCGGCAGCTCCCCAAGGGCGGTGGAGAAGGCTCACAGCTCTGAAGAAGGCTTTTCCACCTTCGCTGACTTGCAGCTGCTCAGACCGTAGGCCCTGTGTGGAGTGCGAGCTCCGTGAAGCTGCATAGTTTGAAAAAATAATGGAATGAAAGCAAAACACTTACTGTGCTCTTTGTTTTTAGAGAACACTTCTGCGGCGAGCTACCCCACACCCAGGGGAGCTGAAGAACATGAAGAGGACGGTGGAGAGTTTACGGAACGACATGAATGCTGCTAAAGGGCTGGATTCCAACAAGAACGAAGTCGATCGCGCCCTGGACCGAGTGACCACTTCTGTGTAGACTGTCGCCGCGGCTCCCACCTCCTCGTCTTCCCTGCTGTCTGGACACTCCCGTCTGCTTCCCGGGAGCCGCCCTCCTCACCCGCGTGGCCCTGCCGCTGGCCGGCCATGCTCCTGCCCAGGAAGTGCCTTAGCCCTCATCCGGGCGGCGCCCAGTGCTCTTCTGGCCTGTTTGGGTTTTGGTTTTGATTTTTTAAAAATTTCAGTTGTTTGTAATAAGTAGAATACACTACTGTAAACACCTGACCTTTGTTTTTGTCTTATGTTGGTGAGAGAGAACAGGAAGGGGAGTTTTTATCCCCTCCGTCCACACAGTGCTGGGCATTTTGAACCTGAGTTCTCTTGGGTCTGCTGATAAGAGAGAGGCGGTAGTGTGTACAAGGAAAAGTGGATGCTTTTTAAACCTTTTTTGGCAGCTCAGATGGTGTAAATTTTAAAATTTTGTGTAAGTGTTTCATACCAAAAGTATGTATTTCTTTTTGTTGTTTTCTCTTAAAGACGATACATATTAGGATTTGTGCAGGAAAACAAACCAATCCTAACGTATTTGTTTGGGTGTGTGCGTCTCTAGTGCCTTATGGTGTCCTGTGTCACATCGAGCCAGAGGGAGCCGTGGCCTCCTGGAGCAGTGAGAGGAGGCTGGGAATGTGGAACTCTGTAAGCAGTGCTGGAGTTTAATCAGCAGTCTACTTGGTGGATTTGTTTTTAACCAAAAAGATGAATTACCAATGATACGTATTGATTGTTTCTTTGAGTGATGAACCAAAGGATCAGACTGCGAATAATTTCTTACACTTTACCTTTTCACAAGCAAATTCTGCTTACTGTGTGCAGTGTCCGACTCTGCTCTGGAGGCGTGTACCCTTGTATGATAAAATAGAGCAGAAAAGCACAAGAAGAGACCCTGGCGCAGAGACTTCAGCGGGTAGGCTGGTGCTGCAAGGCAGCAGTTCGTACTGGACTGCTTTAAAGGCTTTATATGCAGATTTGAGGCCACGATACAGTAAAATAACTTATACTGCCATATGTTGCTATCTTTGTAAGTGCAATTTAATTTGTAAATAGAATTTGAGTCAAAATATAACAAGATACTGCTGTACAAGTTCAGCCTGCTATTTTGGGGGCTCCACAGGATGCTTCCTTGTGTCTCTGTTGATTCCTGCGTGCTGTGGTGAGCAAATGGTGGACATGCCAGTCGCTCTGTGGTTTGCAGTCTCTTTTTTTTTTTTTTTTTTTTTTTTTTTTTGGCAGAACCAGGGATTGAACTCAGGCCCTTGTGCTTGCCAGGGAAGCACTTATTCTACTGAGCCATCTCCCCGGCCCCTGTGCGGTCTCTTTTCTAAGAGGGGTTTTCTCCATGAAGTCAGCATAGGTGGTCGTTGGTCACGAGGCACCTCGCTATTATTAGTTTGTGTGTCCAGACGGTGCAGACACCCTGGACTCGGTCTGCTGCTCGCCTCCGAGAGGCCGGATCCTGCTCAGTTCGGCCCGCCCCAGCGTGCGTGCATCCCACATCACCCAAGGGGCCTCCTGCAGCCTGACCTCCAGAGATCAGGGCCGCTTCCTGGTCTCGAGGCCTGGCCCACTGGACACCTTTGCCACCACATCGTACAGTGCCTCCTGTCACTTCTGTGCATTCGCCTTGGATTCTGCCTCCATTTTAGGTTGGGCATGGGCATTTATTTATGTATTTTAAAAACGTTATTGAACAAAGTACCTAGCACTGGACTCGTTTTGGCTAGGCAGTCTCATGCCGTGCTCATTTCTAGGTCATGATTTCCTTATCTCCTTTTCGCGATTTTGGCCTAGAGGCTGATTGTGGACAAGCACGTAAGTCCTGCTTAAGTAGCATCTTGTCTTGATGCCAAAGAACAAACTGCGCAGTGGCTTGGCCCTTTCTCCGTCTATAAGCCACTGTTTTTCATGGCTGAAGGGAATGAGATAAAGGTCGGGAATGGAATGGTGGGTGCACTGAAACCCGTCTGGGAACCGTCAGGCACCTGAACCTTTGGCCTGTTTGCTTTCTTTTTCCCTTTGGTTTGGGAGATTTTGTTTGTTTCATCTTAATCTTTTATGGTGGGTGATCCTGTAATGATTTCTAATCTTAGGAAGGTGGAACCAGATGGAAGCTTCACAGTGGAGTCGACCCCAGCTGCAGTCCCAGCCGGAGAAGGCCCAGGACTGCATGGAGAAGGGAAACCTGATTACAGGAAGCGCACCTTCCCTTGTCAAGGTTACCCGCTTCTGGCTAGTGCTAGGTGCCCCCAGCGCACACCCTCCCTTTAGGGAGGGAGGTGAGAAGAGCCGGGAACGGTGTCCAGCCTGTCTGTTTGTCTTGGAAGGAGAAACAGGAAAGGCAGGAAAGCAGGTCAGGAGGACCTGTTCACCCACTTTTTTCAGAACCCTTCATTTTCTGTTTTTAGTAGAGAAACTGTACCCCAGAGGATAAAACACTGACATAAGATTGGAGGAGGTGAAAGGAAGTCATTGCTGACAGAGAGGGACCTGTAAGAAGTAGCAAAGCAGTTGTTTGGCTGTTGCTTGTTTTCTTGAAATTTTGGAGTAATAATTTCTTTCCACTTTATCTGAAAACTTCCCTAAAAATTTCCCAGCTGGCTGCTGTGGTACAGCGCTTCTGCCTTGGACCGTGACCTGCCACACCCAAGCAGAGCACTTAAGGGTGGGTGGAGGCTGGGAAGATCCTTGCTGGGTGGAGTGCTGCAGCAGCCAGTCCTGCCTCTGCGGGCGTGGGGACACAGCCATTGCAGGTGTGCTGCCTGCCACGTGGGGACTCTGGAAGGCACTGTGCACCCGAGCTGCTAGGTGGAAGGTGGCCAAGGATCCGCAGCGCGGTAACGCCCTGAGCTGAAACCTCAACTTCCTCAGTACTCATGGGCTCGCCTCATCCCCCTTTCCAAAAAGCTAATTAAACATCCTTTTGTTAGAGAAAGCCTAAGCATACAAATGCAGAGTCATGTGATACACCTTCTACCCACATCAAACCCTTAAAGCACATTTGTAAGAAGTTGCCTACACAATGAAATTTTAAAAATGGCACTCTGGGCTGAAAAGGTTTATGTTCATATAGCTGCGATTTGGAATCCCAGCCTTGCCACGTGGATTCAGAAAACTTGGTTAACCTCTCAGAGCTTCCTGTCCTTCATCTCTGAAGTGGGGCAGTTATCCCTTCTGGGATTCTAAGTGAATCTGGAGTGGAGTACTGGGACCACAGCTCTCAGGGCCACGGGAACAGGTCTCACTGCTGCCGCTATCGTCTGCTCGTGGTGCAAGCAGCGCTGCCACACGGCAGGCCGGGCGCAGACACGTGCCGCCTGCTAACTTCTCAGCTGTAGTGTTAGATACAGACCCCCAGGTACCTGCTGGATGAAAAGAATCATAATTTGTCCAGTGCTTGCTTAATGGTATGTTTAACAGCAGTTGCGCTGAAGCCTTATTTCAAGTGGACTCTACCAGCTTTCCTAAGGGTAGTTTCTACCGGGAAGTCACTGGAAGCCTAACAGAGAAGAGCGGTTTCTCTTCCACAGAGCCCCTTCGGCCCTTCCTCAGTTTCCTAAGTTTGGGTCTGTGATGCTCCAATCTGTCTTTATTTTGCCCTGAATTTTCATAACTTTCTTCTTTGACACCGCTCGAGGAGGCTTTTGTGGGTTTGGGGGACAGGCAAATTTAAAACATGGGTTATCCATGGGGCAAATCCTGCTTTAAAAAATGAGTTCAGCTGATGTGGGTGGTGTAGAGCAAGCCCCTGACCAGGGGCATTCTGTCCTGAAAGCAGGCAGCTGGTGGCAACGGAAAGCCCACCAGAACCTGACCTCGTCCCTTTTGCTTGCAGGCCGCATGGAGGGCAGGAGATTCATCTCCTTGCCTGCCGTTGGTCGGGGCTGTGTAACTTCTCACTATGAGTGGGCAGTTGCTGTGACAGGTGTGGACGCGAGCCAGAGCTCTGGAATTCTAACTTGGCGAGCAGGTAGATTCTCTAGATTTCTTTGGCAGTATTAACATTTAATTGCTAAGCATTGAGCTGCCACTGATTATATACTGTGTAGCTACTGGTACATGAATGCCACTTACTGAACACCTACTAGGTGTCTTGCACCGAGCAAACTAACCCAACCTCCACATTCCAGAATAATGCCGTGGAGTAGGTAGGGGTGCCATTTTAAGGGGACAAAGGAGAAAATGAAGATTTATGTAAGTAAATTTTGGTTTTCCCAAGACCAAGTAGTGCGTGACAGCAGAATGTAAATTCACATCATTTGTGGTTCCAGTGGCTCCCTTGTTTTGCTTCCCCAGCCCAAGTCCTGTGTGCCTGCAGGTACGTTTAGAGATGCACTGATGATGGTTCTGTTTTCCTTTATCAAGGTGCTTTAGACCGAGGTGACGAACACCAGCATGGAGCCCAGAGGCCTTTGCGTAGATGTGGCCTTCACTGGGCACGCTGCACTGCAGGCACCAGCCTCTCCTACTCTGAAGTCCACGCAGCCTCTGCCACGCCATCCAGGCTGAGAACTTGTACCTGCCCCTGGACTTTGGGTAAGAAACTTGGAGAAGCAGGGCTGCCCACAAAAGCTGATACAGTTTTAGTACTAATTGGAGTGACATCTTTTAACGTGTCCCAAACATTGGCTCTTAGCTCTAACATGAACTAATTAGTTGGGAAGGTTTGTTTGTTTTATCCTGGCTACCTTTCATGCCTGCCCTTGGAGAGAAGACAGCTAACCAGCACTTAGAAACATACCCCACTCCAGACTGACCTTCTGCTCTTGGGGGCATGAAAAGCCATCTGGCAACTTATTATTTAAAATCTTTCTTTTAAGGAAGCACTGTTGTCAAATCTTCGAACCACCAACAGTTGTTCTTATTTAGGAGCTCTTGTATTGGAAGAAGAGAAAGCAGGAGGAATGCAGAACACGTGTGCGATTGTGGAGGCAGAAGCCCGCACAGGCGTCACGTGCAGCAGGCCGCGGGGCCCCAGCCCCCCAGCACAGCCCTGCGACCTCCCGGACGCCTGTGTGCCCAGGTGAGTCAGGCTGCGCCCTGCCTTCGGAGTGTACTTTCTAGGGTGCTGCCCAGCAGCGCTCCCAGGGCAGCGCTTCCCCGGCCTCTGGGCCTCTGCTCCCCGCTGTGGCCCTGGCCCGTGTTCCCACACCTGGCCCCGCTGCCTTGCTCACCCAGCTGGAGGTGCGAATGCTTGCTTGGTTAAGCCTTGCTGCCTATCACGGCCTGGA